TAATTAATTGAAATAATTATTCACCTTGATAAATTCAGGTTTAAGATGTTCTCCACCCATCAAATCCGTTAATTTGAGATTCAAATTGACACCAACAGCAGCAGCCGCTAGCCTCACAGCTCTGCATGGTGCACTCCCGGGTACGTAATACAGATCAATAGTCATTCTGTAAATAATTAACATTGTCAGATAATTGTGGCATGAAAGTGTTCGATATTTGCGACTGGATAATAATCAAATACAAATTATTAGTATCCAATCAAAACGTGTAATCCCACGCTGTTCATTAATCTGAGTGAACATCAGGGTTGATTATCACCCCGTCTTTACTGGAATATTGAAATTCACATTTCATTATCACCATGAAGTAATGCGGTATTATGATTTGGCTGGGCTTACGCATGAATTACTTGCAATCCCATTTGCATTGACATGGGTGCTTGTCTGGAATATTTCATCGGGGGGGATATTTCATGAAATTTTTTATGGAAATTGAATGATGGACAAATGGAAAATTACAGAGGGAAAAGATTTCCCACGGAAGGGAGACAATTATTTGATGGCTTCGTCAGGTGTATGTCGATTCAAAGAGGATTACGAGAGACTCCCTTAATTCCCCATCATTTTCAATTCATCAGCCATGGATTTTATATGACTTGAAGTACTCTCTTGGCTTCCGAGTTACCGGACTTCTGATCGCCAGTATATCCCGTCGATAATAATCCCTCTTCGGAGAATTATATTCACGTTGATTGAATAATCTCTCGATTAAAAATTCAGTCATCTCTCTCAACTGTTCGTCGAGATAGTTTTGGGTTTAAAAAAACAATCCAGGGAGAATATCTGAATAGAATCTCTAAAAAAACGACGGGAGAATTGTTGAATTGCAAATTTAAAAAATCAATACCACAAAAATTCTGATCAACTCAGAATAATTAAATTATCCATTGGTTGCGGTTCCGTTCGAATATTCCAGGAATAATATCGCAGTAATTCCACGTTAATTATCCCCATCCATTGCTACCCAAATAAGTGTAATGGACATGTCGAGTATCTCTTATCATATGTATCGCAGTACCAGCATCGCGCAAACCATAAACCAGGGAATTACGTGAAATTAAAATGAGTGAAGAATTCCCGGGTTGCCCTGTCGTATAAAAATATAAGATAATGCCAGACTATAATCCCACGTGCACGACTGAAATAAAGACCACACCTTATTATTTTTATCTAACACTCCAGTTGTAATATCACCGTGAGAGACGAAAATAATAACCCTAGGTTGGACGTTCACTAGGAATACTGGGACAACTACTGGTCCAACTTATACTGGGCACGTCCTTATAAGCGGCAAATGGCAGTGTTGCCACTCGGGTTAAGTTGACTCGTGCTACCTACAATGTTACCTCATCCAGCAGTGGGGATTGTTGTCAAAATGAAGTGAAGTGACTTGTTACAAACTTGAAGATTGTCGGGTAAATTTACTCGTTTCACTTTATTATTTCCGCTCATCCGCTATGGCTATTTCATCCGGATGAAATTTCGGTGCTCAATACCGCGGAGAGTCATTTCAATTGACTATTTGGGATAAATAAATAATTTTTTAAGCCAGAGACCTTGAGATGTGGAGAATGAAGTAGGAGATATGATGTCATTGCTGTACATTCACCGCCATGACGAGCATGACTCGCGTTTTTCATGGAGATATAATCAGTATGATCAAGTGATTTGTCTGATCTCGTCATTATAGATTTCGATAGTCATTGTTTGATTTTTATGACTAGTCCAATTTGACGGGATATTTTTTATGAATTTATTTCTGATTTTCCAGAAGGTCGAATGGATTTAGAAAATTCTTCATCATTATTTCCAAGCATTTTGACGATTTGCAATAATTATTAATAATTATTATTATGTACATACGATATCCACAGTATATCCGTCATATGTCGAGTATATATGTAATCCATATAGGGAATTATCTACACATGGAAGGAACAGAATTAATCAGCGGAATGACGGCTTTGAAGAGCTTCCACTAAATTGTTGAAAAGGGGATTTAGTCTTGGTTGAATTTAGAAGAAATTTATTACAGAGAACAATGAAACGTGATATTTCGAAATTCGGAGCGTAACATAACGGAAAATTTCGAAATGAGAAAATGAAAAAGCGGCGAGAGATGACCACTAACCGTTAACTGCGAGGTGAATTATCATGGGATTGGAAAACAGAACCGGCAATTCCCCTGAAAGAAGTGGATTTGAATTTATGAAAATATCTGCATGACTTCCGGAGATGTCAGTGGAAATATGAATAATATAATCTGAAAACACATGTGAGCTCACGCATGAGGAGGGACCACTGGGCGTTACATACGTTTTGCTGCTTCAGTTTTCACCGCATTTTGAATATTGCATGGTTAACTCGAGAGAGCCCGCCATGTTAATTTCAGTTTATGGGTAACAATGGCGGATGGTTCTAATTCATACGTTAAAATTGACATGAACTGACGTAGGTAGCTCAGCGGCTAGGTGCGAGCCTAGTATTTTGAAAGTAGTGAGTTCGATTCCCCGTTGAATCGAATTTTTTAACAGCCATCGATGAGTGGGAGGTTGCTAATAAAGAAATCGACTGTACCGACATGGTTTTATCAATGGTTTCCCATGTCAATCCTATGTTCTATAAGAGAGTGGACGGTGCAGTGTAGGATCCACAGCCGCATGCATAGGGTGAGATAGGGCTAATTTATTTATTATAGAGATAATTTATTCATTAAAAATCACCTGAAGATTCGCGATAAATTTTGTAATATCTCCCGCCATTTTCCACGGCCAAAGAAGATTGATTCAAATTTTGTCTCAATTTTCGGCGGGGAATCCCCCACGTCTTGGCACCTGAAATTCAGATTTTCGCGGGAAAATTAAATAGAAGTTTCAATTTTCTGTTCCACTTTCCCGGGAAATTAACAGAAAATCCGGGGAATTCTGGAGACATTCTCGAATTTGGTCGAGTGACACTGAATGCGATTTGGGCAGACAAAAAAATAATGAAATATCCAAACGATCGGATTGGATTGCGAATTTGAATAAATTAAGGGATTAATCGCGCAGTTCTTCTAGAATTTTCCTGTTTAGGTAAGATAAATTATTGAAAATACTTCGAATAATTTCTGGAGGGAAATGGAGGGAAAACATTACATTCATTCGGGTCTCGTCTCCTGGATCATTAATCGAGTAATCGCGAACGGAGACACCTGCCACCCATTCAATCTCGCGAGACCGTGTGATATCTCCATTCACCCCCGGAAAACAGAGTGACATATCGTAAGTGACAGTTTCTGAATAATTCCCACATCATGTATTTCTTCTTCCGTCCACACTGAGGTTTTCCCGCGACTACGGAAACATTTCCTGCCACCGAGAGATAACAAACGACACGAACGCGTGTCAACAGACGGGAGAAATATCAAAAAATGATATTGCCTTTTGTTGAAAAATCGAGAATTCCTCGGTGGAGTCCACCCCTTCATTTTATTTATCTATCGAAAATTTTCTCATTTCCATTGCTCCGAATTCCCAATCCTGTGGATTTCAACTCTATTTAAAATTCAATTATTCAGGAAATTTCCCGTCATATAATTATCATCAATTCATAACTATTGATTTTATGATTATTGTGGTATTTTTGTATTGTCGATAAAATGCAGGGAAATATCTCGCCGAAAAATTAATGCAATTCACTTTAAAATCCGGAGAGTGTATTATTAAAAAAAAAATTATCTGAATCCCACAGAAAATTCATAACATTTTAGTATTGAAAATTCGGAAATCTGTGGAAAAATGAAACGGAAAATGTCAGTCCGATTTTCCTCTGGTAAATGCACTCTGGAATTTAACCGAGTCAAATAAAAAGAGAATAAAAATAAAGAACAATGAAATTTTGAATGTTATTGGAAATTCAATGTAATTTGACAGCGAATGGAGATATTCGATTATAAATTTAAATAAATTAAAGATAAATTAAATAAAAAAAAATTAATTCTCGTCTTCATGTCCTTTTAAATGTCTCTCCAAATTAATAATGAACCAGCAATATAATTCATTAACCCAGTGCAGCTGTGAAATAAAGATTGCAGTTGAAATTTAAAGAACCGTTCGGATAATTTTTGAGACTATGATAATCACCCTCATTTTCGTAATGGATTCTGTTCATTCACAGCCAGCAGAGCGTTCTGGAGCGAATGAAATTCCCTTTTATGACCCTAATATAAGCAATTATTTTTCCTCATTAACATTATAATATAGCGAGTACTGAAATGTGCAAATGGAGTTGGCTCATCTCGGAATCCATTAGTCGATCAGCATTATATGTGTGCATTGCATCCAAGGACAAACAATTACCCACCTCATTCCCTCGTCCTTCCGCCATTTTCCTGGATGGCATATCGCTAAGCGGTTTCGCAATCCAAAGCTATTCAGAAAATTGCTCAACAATGACAAGGCGGAGAAGAAAAAAATAAAAAGAATAAGGAAAACAAGGACGAGGTGAGACGAATGGGTGGAAAAACCCTCGGATATAAAACATCAAGGAATTGGAGAAAATAGAGCTTTTCCGTGGGGGGAGGGGGGGGGACATCAAGTACGAACAATAAAACACGTGACAGACAGGTTGGGAGAAGTGACGGGATTGGGGGGAAAACGATTAATGTTGGGAGACAAGATGTCGTCTAGGGGACACTTTTACACTGGGCTCTTTTCAGGGAAAACTCTGGGGAAAAACTTTCAGGTTATCCGCAATTCATGATTTCTACATTAAAAAATTATGAAGAAAATAACGAAGTTTCAGAAAAAAACAGAAAATTTAGTTTATAATTAATTGTGAAGGTACAATAAAGTAATATAAATAAATAAATAAATATAAGTTAAATAAATTTGTAACTTGACAATGAAACAACCAATGGAAAAAAGCTCTGGAAAAAGTTATATAGATAATTTTATAAAGAATATGTGGTAAAAATTTTATTGGAATCGGTTGGTTAGCTTTTGAGTTATCGTGTCCACCAGTTTGAAAAACCACATTCCAACGTGGTCTCGAGAAAAACGTAAAAGAAGACCAAAGAGCGCGGCAGCAGCTAGAAGTTAATTTTTTTTTGGTTTACCTTCAGTCAATGATTTAATATGCACAATTGACGGTATTTACGCTGTGATGTCACAATAAAATATTTGGAGTCTCATAATGGGGAGTGGCTTAAAATATTCTTAAAAGAATAAAATAAATACATAAATTTTTTAAGCAAACAAAAACGATTTTTTTCAACGATAATGTAACTTGACTTAAGAGAGAGAATTGAAAATTAATGAGGTCTAGAAAAACGATCGCCCATGAATTTAGTAGAGGGAAAAATAGAGATATGAAACGTCAAATTAGATTTGGTATTCGAATGACATATTTTAATTATAGTACGGTAGGTAATTGCTGGTTGGAATGTGGTGATTCTGGTGGTGTAGGTGAAAGTCGATTGTGGATTGAAGGACAGCCTTGAATGGTCATTAGACATGATTAAAAGGCGATGATTCAGTGATTTTTGGGAAGGAATGTAAATATTTCTGCGGAGAATTTACGGCGAACGGGAAAATAAGAGGGCGATTTGAGAAAATTCTCTACTTTATCGTTCGGAGAATTCATTTCCACTGCGACTGGAATTCTCGGTGTTACGTAGAAAATATTGGCGTCGTAGCGTGACTCTAAGGAGTACCTAGATATTAGTCACGTGTCCCGTGTGTTTACATTCTGCCGATAAGATCGATTGAGCTAGGAAACTCGTAAAATACATCCACCAGTTCGATACGCACAGTAATACCATATTTTTCCGCATTTTCTTCGACTTGGGGCCACGGAATTGCCGATGGGAAATGTCATGCAGTTTTTTCTCTGCAGATATCGCCAGAATTTTAAGTGCAACGGATGTCCGAACGGATGCGCGCGCACGCCACGCCCACTGTCGATTTATCGATCGATATATCGTAGTGATGAGCCAGAATTCATTGGAAATTTTTTTTACTCGATTTTCTAATTAATTTTAATTATCCTAATATATAAAGAGAAGCATCGAGAGTCTCGAATTGCACTCGAAGGGCATCTCGAATGAGAATCGAATGACAATCGATTTATATCGACTCAAATCGATTGATCGTAATTTTCTCCTGTTATCCCGGGTAAAAAAAAAATTCCGAAACAAATTTTTGAAAAATTGTTCAAAGCATTTCCCAAAAATACAATTTTTTTTCGTTTCAAAAGAAAAATTTTCTGAAATGTTTTCCCGAAATTTTTTGAAAATTAATAAAAAAATATTCCAATTACAATTTTTTTTTACCCGGGATATTCTGAATCATTATTAGAAATCATTCGATTGTAGACAGTCAAGAGATACTTTCCTGAAAAAATTTTTTTATACGTGCAGAGAGTGACGTCATGACGTGACGTAAAATCAAATTTTTATTCGTTTGGCTTTTTGGTTGTCTATGAGATTCTCAAACAACTCGTGTGGATATATCGGCGTAGGTAAACCGGATAGGAAGGCATCCCGTTCACCTCAATTTCATTCAAGAATAACGGCGAATGCCTAAACAACGCCAAAGCGACCGAACGATTTGCTCCCTCCCGCAGCATCAATTTCCCGGAATTTCCCACCCACATCTTCACCCTTGGCTTCTCTGCTTTTCACGTACATCAAGAATGTTCTCTGGGCCCTTTCAACATGCGGATGTATTTGGTGATTCTTGGAAAATCTTCAGGACGACTGAATTCCGAGGGATTTCACCGCACGCAAAAGTTTCCACTTATTCTGATCACTCATACCATAATCATATTCTAATTTCCAATTAAACATTTTTAATATATAAAAGAAATTAAACAATTATAGTAATCAAGTCTCTCGTGACTGAAATATCTAAAATCAATTGGGTCAATTTTCTGGAATAATTTCCACTTATTCCATGAGACGTTTCAATAATTTCATCGTAGATATATTGTAATTGAATTAATGATTCATTATCCAAGTGCCTTATTAATGGGTATTAGGGTACGCTTTCAGGATGATTCGGGATCATTTAGATGATTAATCATTATTGGAAAATGAAAAATAATTGATGAACTGTCATAAATTTTGCAGTGCAGAGAATCAAAGCAGTCAGACGTTAAATGATTCATTAAGTTTAAAAATTGATGTTTCGATTCAAATGAATTTTCCACAAATTGCTTTATCCGAATTGATCCGCATCAATTTCTTTTCGAAAAACCGGGGACTCGGCAGAATCGAAAATAAGTATTCGTATTCGCTAGTCGATCGAATTCCAGGGAGTCTTGAATTTTAATTGCATCCTGGATGGAGTAAAATTGTTGCACGAGTTGTTCGAATTTTTGTTGAGGAATTGCTGGTTGAAGCGGTTCACATTTGAATTAAATAACTCAGTGAAGAATGTACCCATTTAAATGCATCATATTTCACGTTAGCGGTATATCAGAGGGTTTATTTAGAGATACATTTTTAACGTGTGTTCGTTGGCAGCTGGAATAAATATGTGCGAACATATATCACGAGTGGGATGTACTGCAGTTGGTGGAGTGCATCAAAAAATTTTCAATTTCACTTTGCCGTCCCCATGGATTCCCCTGGAATCAATTCTCTGAAGAATCATTGAGACGATTGATTGCCCCGATTACCAGTAAAATAAAAATTTCATACAAAAATGAAAATATTACTTCTTCATTTTCCCAATCCACCCCTATTTTCCATAATTCATCTTATCTTTTATAAACTAATTTAATTACTTGATTGATCGAAATAAAATTAATAGATTTCATTTTCGTTATTGATGAACATTAAAATTCTGCACCGACTGAAAATAAATTTCTCAACCTCATGTATTTAAAAAGTTATCCATGGGGACATTTTATTATCCAACACATCAATAATTACGAAATTTATACCATTATGTAACTGGTGCATGTGATGGGAGGTAAACAGAATATTCTAGTCCATTCATACTTGGTAGTGAAGAACAACCAGGAAATAACAAACCGCCCTTTCTATTTCTGGCCATGACATTGCTGTCTAGTTCTATAGAACATGAAGAAGCCTCAGTACTTGCAGAACTAGGGTATAAATACATTCATGGTTATGAAGACCTCGAGAGGGCCACAATTGTTTTTCTTCCCTTGAAAAATTCTGTCGGGGACAAGGCGGAATAAATTTCTATTTACATACCCCTGGATTTTCCTGGAGTTCTCCATTATTTATCCACATTTTGCGCACTCTTCCTCAATATTTCAGGTTTTGTCTCTTCATTCCTCATTAAAATAAAAAAATAAATAAATAAAATAAAAGAATACCCCCAGTGCATTGTTGATACTCTAACATGAGCATCCGGAATTTTTTATTGCTATACCGTTCAATTTTTAATTACTTATTTCGTGGTGTCTCTGTAAATTTCAAAATATCATCCCCATCTTCTGCAATTAATATTCGAATAATGTGAGAACGAATTGGTGCTCGGAGAAATGTCGGAATTACATTTCCTGTTTTTGTTGGGAACATGAAGTTTTAACGGCCCGAGGCGATACGAAAATTAATTGAAAAATCAATACGTGGATGGAAAATAAAGCCAACGAGCTTGAGTAAATATTTTTAACATTTCCATTTACTTTTTATTAACTTTCACAAATTCTGTGTACACTAGTATCATTAATATTCATCGTGTTAATTTTTATAATACACTTTATAAATATTTGATAATTGATTAAGTAAATTAAAATATTGATACGCAAATTGCGGTGATAGAGTATATTTAGTATTTTGTTGTGCTATGGGGATTACCCTGTTGAATATTCCAAGTGAATCATTAAATTTCTAAGGGTAATGCAAGGATGAATTGAAAGGTAAACGGGCAAATTGAATAAGCACTGGGGTAATGTAACATTTTATGGTGGAGGAGTGAATTTATATTTAAGGAATGTTATTCCTCTTTGAGATTCGCTCGATACCATTCACCAAGTGCTAGGGCTGGAGTATTTACTTCTTCAAATCCATACTTTTCCAGGCAGTCCTTGCAACGCTCGTACCATCCAGAAACGTTGTCGTAACGCCCTATATCGAATCCAAGCATCTGAAATTTTTTTTATTCCGTTAAGTAGATCGAAGTCATTCAATCAAAGAGAGAATGAGAAAAGAGTGAATTTGAGTCAATGGGTCACAAGATTCAAGTGCCAAATTATCTCCATCGCTTTAAAATCTACAAATATTTTTTAATGATTTTATTATTTCGAGGAAAATAGTCCGGAAATGAGGGGAAGGTCATGCCCCAAGGATTGCCGATTGTTAAATGGGTAAATTACAAGTTCCCAGAACAATTGATTTTTACCTTGACACAAGGACATTTTTTTCTTTACGCGGAGTTCGATCTATTTCGGGAACTAAGGCTCTACGAAAATTTTTATGAGAACCTTTTTTGTAGATCTAAGTGAGAGCTGCAGAAATGGTCATTACAGAAATTTGGGAATTCGCGGCAGTTTTGGAGATATTTTGAGAGAACGCCCAGAACCATTCTATTTTTTCTCCGACAAAATGACATTTTTTTCTCTACGTAGAGTTCGATCTACTCCGCGAACTAAGGCTCTACGAAAATTTTTATAAGAACCTTTTTCGTAGATCTAATTGAGAGCTCCAGAAAAGGTCATTACAAAAATTTCGTAATTTTCATCGGTTTCGGAGATATTTCCGGAAAACTTCGAGAAATAATTTTCACATTTGAATTCCCGAGTTTTACCTCAGCGAAATGAGTGCTGATGGCAATAGAAAAATCAGCGATGGTCAGATGATCTCCTGCGACAAAATCATTTCCCTCCAGAAAAGCATTCAATATCTCAAAAGCCCTCTCAATCCCCTGAATGCTTTCTTCAGTGACTTCATCAGTCATTCCAAAAATGACAGGAACCTGCAAGTAATTAAAAATTTCCATAAACCCACGAGCTGACCGTAAATATTTGATTAATTAGACGTGAACCCACATAAGCATTAAAGAGCCTCATCCAGAGGGTAGATATATCAAAGTAAAGCCTCTCATCGACTATTCCCTTTTCCTTGGGATCCTTCGGATAGAGGGAATCATTTTTCGCGTATTTATTCACCAGATACGCCATAATTGCCCGGCTGAAAATCCATTGACCATATTTTTACAGGAATTCCCATCTTTCTCTTCACTCGAATTTTTCCACAGGACCTACCTCTCCGATAGAATGAATCCATGGTCGTCAATGGTTGGTATCGTATGCTGTGGATTTATCTGAAAAAAAAAGATCAAACATCCTGAATCAACAAGTGCAGCTACTGTTTTCAGGCAGAAAATGAAGCAAAACATTTACCTTGAGATATTCAGGATCCAGCTGTTCGCCTTTGGTTACGTCAATGACTTTTAAATTCAGATGAATTCCCAAAGCTTTTGACAGTAGTATAACTGCACGAACAGGTGGACTCGGGGGGAAGTAATACAAATCAATCGGCATTTTTCTATTATCCAATAAAAATAGATATCATTACATATTTTTAATCTCTGTCTGGAATTCGTAAATATTCTATCCCCACCCCTCGAATACATCCCATTATTTATATACCTTATCTACTAATTACATCCCAATTTTTTAAATAAACTGATTATTTATTTCATTGGCAGTTTTAATCAATGGATCTACAGTGAATTTTTATATAATCTATTGTTTATAATTATTGACGGAAAAATTATGCAGTTGAAATTGAATTTTCAATTTCACCAATTTCAATCAGCCTTGATGAGAAAAACGCAATAAAAAAAACGATAGCTTTTATTAGTATGAGAAAATGTATTATCGGTGAATAAATGCTTCCCCCTGCGGTTACAAAAAAATTTTATAATTAATAAAGTTCCAGGACAACCGCAGTTCCTCATTGTTTCATCATCGAAACCAATGAAAACTCCGAACTATTGTAACCCAAACTCAATAAACAATATCCAATAATACATCGTGAAACGTTAATATATAAATTACCAACCTGATGATTCAATAGGTCGTAATATCCCGTAGTAAATACTTTTAAACTTTAAACTACAGTCCAAGGAGTGAGCCACCAACAAGCAGACGATGACACTTGAATGTGCTAGACCTATTGTTACCCCAGGGAGAATATTGCTGTTCCTATTTGTTATCTTTTTTTGTTCCGTACTCTTTATTTTTAAATGGAAATGTGCATTGAGGAATACATCGCGGAGTGAAACGTTGACGGAATGAATTCGTATTGTTTTCCACCCCCGCCAGCATCAGGGGACGTTGAAATGAAAACTGCCAGACCAAGTGCGCAAGCCAACTTCACCCTCTCTTTCCCCCCCCCCCCCCCCCCACGTTACCATGACGATGCATTTCCTAACAATGAAGTGAAAAAATTGCACATAGACGCAATGTATTCCATGATATTGCTGGAAGGTTTTAATTTATTGACTGAGCATGTGTGAGTTTAAAGATGAAGTTACTTTTCATCCATTCAATCTGTGAAGATTGAAAATTATATAATTGTCTGTGAAAATCATATCTATCTAATTCCCGTCATAATCCAAATGAAATCTCTTTAAGATCGCATGCGTAGGCCCTATTAAGGCCCACGAGGTCTTATGAAGGTCACGTGAAGGTTCTGGGGGCCTTGGGAAGGTCTTCGGAAGGTTCTGCGACGGGTCAGAAGACGATGGACGCCGCAAATCCATTCCACCGAAAAACTGAATCAATTTAAAAAATCATAATTACCCACCAAAAATTACGATTTCTATCTCATTACCGTCACAATCCAAAGAAAATCTAAAAGATCACGTACGAAGGTCTTATTGAGGCCTATGAAGTCTTATGAAGGTCGCCCGAAGGCTCTGGAGATCATGGCAAGGTCTCCTGAAGGTCATGGCAGTCGTAAATCCATTCGACCGGGGAAACTCAATAAATTTTCAAAACCACAACTGCACTCTGGGCAATTAATTAAGAGTCCGAGTTCAGTGTTGATTGTATTTTTGGGGATAATGTAACACGATATAAAATACAGTTGGCTAGTTTGGGAGAACATTTGATAATTGAATGCGGAAGCAGCTCTGACCACCGAATAAAGCGCCCAACACCGTTCAACAATTCATGTATGTTGTGTTGCTATTGCCACTGAACTAATCTCACTCATGTACACATATACGACAAGGGGGTAAATGATGAAGGGGAATAGCCGAGCGATCTCAAAACCGAGTGCGAGGGAAAGAGTTTAAATCATGAACGGTGATTAAAGTGAAACGCCTGGTCGTGCATCATCCCACGATTGCACGCATTTCGATGTGGTCTAGGGGGGTGAGGGGGGAGGGG